CTGTACTTGTTTGGCTTGGCTTTATAAATACAGTCTATGGTTGGTTCCTTGTTCTGATTCCTAAATAAAGCTGCTGAAAAAGATAGAAATTATGACTGTGTCATCATAACTCCTGGCTGCCCTCTGCTGATATAAAACATGCAGTGCCTGCTAAACTAGGGCATATTATCCATGACTTCTTCAACAGTGATATGTAACAATGTGTAACATTAATGTATATACATGACAGTGCACATTATTCAGGATGCAACAAAACGACACAAATGTTGTTGAGCTGTTCGGATTAGTTGTACCTGAAACACTGCTGGTTGGCCAACAGGAAGTCACTATCGTGCTTCCGCATTGAGAAACGACCACGTGTTTCTTCAGCGTGTGTGTCAGGCAGCTAGCTTGAAGCTAACATAACATTTTCATCCATTATATCAAAAAGATGAGTCCTCGGTGTGACTGCTGCGGCGAGCACGTTGAAAAACTGAACCAGCAAATAACAGTGATGAGAAAAGAGATAAAGAACTTGAGGTATGTGAAGATAGGACTGTACCATTAACTTTATGACAGCTGTAACTATATATATTTAATTGTGTTGATTCTTTTTTGTCTGTCAACTTCATTAGACATATTAATTTACACCGCTGCGTTTTCCTTTAAAGACATTATGTTTTATCTATTTTTTAAATTACGTTTTTATTATTTGCTTATTATTCTTCTTTAACAGGCAGATAATGGACGGTGCAGGTAGAGCTCATCGGAAACACATGACATCCATTCGGTCTGCTGTGGCAAATATTGGCCTCCGTGAACCTGATAAAGAGCAGGCACCTCCACCGCCTTTAGCTGCACCACAGGCATTAGAGCAAGGTAATAACCTTTATATAATACAGTCTATGGTAATAACCAGCAGTACAGTCATCTACAATGGTAAATAAAAACAACTCTAATTATTTTTCAGAAGAAACATCTGCAGTGTGTCTTCTGTATTACTGCATCATAAATCATTTATTTATCCTGAAGTAATGATTTGTTGTGCCATATGTGCTGATTTATAGTATAACAAATACTTCTTCTACTACTACTAATAATATGAAGAAGAATATTCATTATACAAATAATAATAATGTGATAATGATCTTAAAATGTAATTCATAGGACTGTATAATATAGATAAGCTTTCCTTACTTATTGCCTACATTTTTTGTGGAATAGTTGATTTGTAATTTGGCCACTGAAGTGCAAATATAAAATATCAATAAATGTCCAATTTTAAAAATATCAATATATAAAATGGACACATAGCCAAAAATATAAAAAAAGTTGAAGGAAAGTTGCCTCTTTATGAATTGCATATACTGCATATATGCATGGGAAAAAACGTTCATAGTTATATAACATGACAGTAGAAACACATCCACACATAAAACAAAGCGAGTGGCAGAGTAAAAAATGGATGTAGTTGTTACAATGTTCTAAATTAAAAGTACAGAAAAAAATAAGCATCTATGTAATAAAATGCTGTTATCTGTGTAACCCTCCAGGAAACATCCAGACTGTCCCCATTGGTTACATCAGTTCCTGTTTCGCTGTGAAGAATGGTACACCCAGACAGCCCACCATCTGTGGCCCCTCAAGGGCCGAACTGCGCATCCAGCAGAGTATCTTCAATAACCCTGAGCACGCTCTGGTGGGCCTGGAGCAATACTCTCATGTTTGGTGGGTGTCTTACATTGTGTTTACTGTGTGTTATCACTGAAAGGGAGTGTTTGATGATTAAAGTGAATTTTTCACTTTTGCAAATGAACTTCTGCCCATTTCAACACAACTGCCTCTGCCATACATACAGACTTTATGTATCCACTGTTTTTCTCATGTCATCTTTATGTTTTTTTCCCCATATGTTCTATACAGGATCATCTTTCTCTTTCACAAAAATGGGCACTTGAATTACAAAGCCAAAGTGAAGCCTCCCAGACTGAACGGTCAGAGAGTTGGTGTGTACTCGACACGCAGTCCGCACCGACCAAATGCCTTGGGCCTAACTCTAGCTAGACTTGATAAAATTGACGGTAAGTGTAATGAATGAAAACATGTTTCTTCAATTGCGAACTGCTTGCCCGTTGTGTGTTTATGAGTTGTGAGCCCCTATGTACAGATTTAACAGACGTCATGATTTTAAACTCTTAATGCATGTATAGCATAATATCTTTTTTTCCTGCTTGCAGTTCAATTAAGCCACATAAACATATAGCTTTATAGAAACTATTGCATTCCCACTTTTATTTTCTAGGTGACACCGTACATCTGTCAGACATTGACATGATTGCTGGCACCCCAGTCCTGGACATCAAACCTTACATCCCAGACTACGACTCCCCCCACTCAAGACTGGACAAAGAGCATTGTGATCCAATCACAGACCAAAAAACAGATGCTCAATCAGACCTAGAAAGTGAAAACAATTACGACGAAGCCTTGGTAAGTCTCCTCTCCAAAGACAAACCTGAAGCTGGTACTCCCGTCCGAGATTCCTCTCAGTCAGTCAGTGCTCAGTTGCCCCTTCACAAAAACATCCACCAAATGCTAGATGAGGTCAGGGCTTATGTGACCCAAGGGGAACTCCAGCTGAGTTGTGCAAGTGAGGATCATGTTTCAGACTCTCCCAAAACGAAAGCACCAGAGTGTAATGTGGACTACCCCTGCTATGGAGAGAAGGCCTACATTACCATCGCTGGCTGGATCAGAGAGCCTCCTGTCAGCAGTCTGCAGGTGCGCTTCACTCCTCAGGCTCAGAAAGAGCTAGCAGACTTCATTCCCACACACCTGTCAGGTAAGCTAAACGTTCAGTAGCCTGTTGTTTAGTTTAGCTTATTTGCACATATATACGTAAATACAAATATATGTCTTGTAATTGCACTGAGGAACCTGTCATTGTCATGTCATATGCACAACTACTGTGTAGTTGTGCATATGACATGACAATACATCTTTGAATCTTGAATCTTGAAATCTAAAAGACAATGTAAAATCTAAGTAGAAGTTAGGAGGGCCGAAAAGCCTAATGAAGAAACCTCTCTTATTAATATTAATAATCATCTTTTAAAATCCATTAAAGGTCACCTGTTATGCAAAATTCACTTTCTCATGTCTTTTCTACATCAACATGGTCCCCTCTGTGGAAAGAGATTCTAAAAGTTTCAGTAAAAAATATTCTCTCTCTTTTTGTCCTGATCCATTTATATAAAAACCTGTCTGAAAATGAGCTGATCAGATTTTGGCCACTTTATGATGTCATTTTTTTGTCTTGTGTAACCATTAACCAATCACCAACCAAGGTAACCCCCCCCACCTTATCACCTGAATCTCCTCCTAGAGCACCATTGTGTTCTTTTTAACCAAATATCTCTCAGAGGGGCGTGGGGAGGGGCTCCTTATTTTCATCTAAAGTAACAGACAGAGAATCAGCACTTTTGAAATAGGGCTGAAACAGAGGGGTTTATGGGATGCTGCAATGATCTGTTTGGTGTTTGGAGCCAAACACTTCAGAGACATGTTTTGTATATATCCGAGACCTATAATATATTGATGTAAAAAGAGTATAATAGGAGACCTTATAAATCTCGCTAATTTAGATATTTTTAAAATAATGAAGTAAATGTTGTATGAAGTGATGAAAGTTGGTTGTTACAAAAGGATTATCCTAATCCCTAGTGTGTCTTTGAATGGCACTACTGTAAATGAGACATATTTCGTATTTAAATACATAAGTAAATAACTCTGTATTTACATTTTAAAATACAGGAAGGATAAATCAATGAACCAGAGAAAGATGATTTTGTGTTTTGTCCACAAGATGGTGCTGTTATGAAAAACCACCAAGTATGCACAGTAACATGTATACGTTCCTGTATGTTCAGCTTGCATGCATTATAATTGATTATAATAAATGAATAAATATTTGTAGAATAACAGAGTGCACCTTCATGCCACACAGGACCCTCTGAAAGTGACAGACCCAGGTTCAGGTTTCTCCGCAGTACAGAGGAGGCTGTTGCTGCCATCAGAGGCGTGCTTTCTGCAGACCCGCGGTCCATCCACAGGAGGACACGCTGCAGGGACAGGCTCTTCTACTTCATCCTGGACTCAGCTGACATCACCTGCTGGTTCGGACAAGGCTTTGCTGAGGTGCTGCAGGTCCGACCTGTTGAGCAAAATGCTGTCTCAGTGTGAGAAATAATTTGATGAAAGCTTTGTGGCTCGATAGACTAAAAAAAACAGCACTTACTTAGACATTTCCGGTCATTTCTCTACTGACAAATATGTAAGTGGTAATATCATTGAGACCTTTTAATCAGACACATGAAAAGCTGGGAAACATTCAGTTGTAAATAAGTTGATTAAATAAAATATTTTTGAAACAGAATTGCCTTTTTATTTTTTGTCCTTGTTTATACTTTCTATTTCTGGAAGGACGATACAGCTGTGATCTACAAATGACATAAATTGTATTGATTATTTTTCTTTCTTCTTATCAAGTATTGAAGGCCTGCCCACTTCTCTCATGTGTCTTCATGATTTAGAAAATGATTTAAATTTGTATTTTAGGTCAAGGCTTGTGGAAGATGTAAACACATGCACCTGTCGAATATACTTGACTTAGTTACTTAACTTGTTTAGTATTTTGCTTAAATAAGGGGCAACATTTTCAAAATAGTAATATAATAATGATTATAAGAAATATATACATTATTGCTTTTTGTAATATGTTAGGAGTAAAGTTAAACATACGCAATGATCAGAGTTATTTTTATATTAAAGAATACAATTATAAAAAAAACTAAAGAAAGCGTTTCCTGGCAACAAAGGGGAAAGATGTCAATTTAAATGTGTCTAATGTAGTGACATGAACTCCCAGCTGGGGGCGGTAGTGGGCTATAGTACGCGTTACGCCTGCGCAGTGTGTCAGAAAACCACTGAAGAAGAAGAATGGACCAATAGCAGCGCTGACATTTGTGTTTTGAACAAAACGCGGTTGATGGCTGATCGACGCTAAATGTTTATTTACCGTAGCTTTTGCAACGTTTTGTTGGTGAAAGTTGAAAGGTAATGTGGTTAAACTTGATTTTACATGTCATAGTGCATAGTTTGGTTGGTTTAAAAATTGTCGTTAGTTGACGCTTTGAGGTGTGTGCTAACTAACTTGAGTTGACGTTGCTTACGTTAGCTAGCGTTACGCCCTTGTTTAAATTATTCTTAGCAACACATTGTGAGATAATTTAGCGTTACTTCATACATTCAAGTTAAGTTAATATTATGTTGGCAAGGTGTTGTAATTGCGTATAATTGTACTCGTAAACATAAAGATACTTCTGGCCAACTGTCTGTGCTCGACACGTATTGTCAGTAACGTTAGCTTCTTAGCTATTGTTAACGTTAGAAACTGACTTTGTCAACACCAAACTGTTTAAACAATTGTTTTAAAGCAAGTTTGATATACAATCATTTGTCTTCATTTGCAGTTGTAAATAAGTCTTCCGGTGCAATGTCATCCAGGAAGAGTTCCAGTGGGGAAGGCTCGGTAAGACTTTTGTTTTCTTGATCAGCAGTGTTTGTTATTCAAATATGTCTGAACAAGCTATAACTAATACAATACTCAGTTTGGCTTCCGTTGACCTTTTATTTTGTTATTGTGTTTGATGTATTCTATACGGCAGCGGTTTTCAAAGTGTGAGGCGCGCCTCCCCTGGGGGGCGCCAGAGAGCTTCAGGGGAGGCGCAGCGTGAGAAAAAAATAAAGAGAAACAATGAAATCTAGCTCGTTAACTTCAGCTAACTTTATGCGAGCGGCAACATGGATCGATTTTTAGTGAAGTTACCTAAAGTGAGAGAGGAGACAGCGTCTGGCCACCCCAGTTGGCAGCTTTGTTTTGAAATAAAAGTTGTGGCTCATCGGACATTTATCAGAGAAAATCCCTGATGTCCGAGTGCAAGTGAATGCAGCACAAGACGCGAGCCTTGTAACCCTGGCGCGAGCGAGGAAATGTGATTGGCGGCGATTTCATTTGAACGGGCGGCAGAAAACGAGAAGCATTCGGACCCAAGTACACGGAAGGAATAAGGTATTTGCGGTCTACAATGACAGAGAAGAGACTGTCAAGTTTGGCTGTGCTCAGCATTGAATCAAAACGCACTAAAGCTTTGGATGTTAATACGTTTGTGAGGCGTTTTGCTGAACAAGATGGTAATCGCCGCATTCAGCTGTAATAGGCATGCCAACTTGATGCTCTGCTCACGGATGACTCGAGCATTAAAAACTGTTAAGATGATGACTTTACGTGTGTACATATATTTTTTTCTTTGTGGGGCTCTGCCCTGAGAAAGTCAAATAAGATGGTGTGTAAAACTACACTGCCCAGACAAAAATAAGTAACCACTTTGATTTAACTAGGCCAGTAGGTAAGGGCATTCCACTGGATAATAATACCCCTGCATTATAGCAACAACAATAATAATAATAATAATAGCAATAATAATTGGGAGGGGGGGCGCGGCTGTTCTTATATTCTCTGAGGGGAGGCTCACCTTCCCACACTTTGAAAACCCCTGCTATACGGTATATAATGTTGCATTGTTGGAGGAGCCTGGGAATTAAGATTTTCATTGCCATAACTTTTATCCACCCCAGAAAAACATTACGCATTACATTAATGCACATCAGTAAAATCACATCATAACATTTGTAAATCCTGCACATGTTGCACACTTCTTCTCCACACTACCTCATTCAAATCGGCACAGCTCTCCACTTTAGATACAGTATATAGTCTTATGTAAATATTGTTAATTTGTTATAATTGTCTTATTTTATACAGTCTTTTTTATTTTATTTGGTTTTGCTACATATACTTCTTTCTGTGTTTTTGAATGCACCACATATACCAAAGCAAATTTCTCGTATGTGTAAACCTACTTGGTAATACAACCGATTCTGATTCTACACTGTATCTACTGTGCCTATGACATACATTTTAGTCTTCAAGCAGATGTGGAGAGCGTACCCCTCTGAGAAGTCTGCAGAATGAAAATCTGCATCTGTCAACTCCATCCTCCAGACTCAAATCAAAACCGCTGACTGATGTTGTGAAACTGACTAAGGTGGGGTTATACTTATATTTGTAAATCCTCCTATTTTTTTGCTCTGTGACTTTTTTCTTACTTTCCATCCATTCTGATCAACAGGGTGATGGCCCTCTCTGTGATCCAGAGCCCCACTTGCAATCTTCTCCATCCACAAAAGGGATTCATATCAATGCTCCCACTACTGATTTATCAACTACTGAGTCAGCTTGTGGACTTGGAGATGTTACATTTAAATCTTTCATCTGTCCTGGTGGTGAGGTTGAGCTTGCAAGCTCCTTTGTGTGTGCAGAAGATAGTATTGTTCTGCCCAAGGATCAGGCTATGACAACCATTCATGAAACGGAAGATACCATCCTCTCTGACAGTATAGCGGTTCAGTCATGCAGTGACCACATCGAACACGCCTATTACAATCCTGAGGTTATAGATGCTTCCTTGGTTGACAATGAAGCATCATGTCCCTGTGAAATTTCCAACACTAATCTAACCTCTGGAGACTTGGATGATGGATGTGCTACACAAGATGTCCGAGCTTTTCAGGGTGACTGCTGTGGGAAGAATGGTGTCACTTGGAAATCCTTTGTCTGTGATGGCGGTGAGGTGGAAGTGGCTGATGTCACCAGACTACAAGATGCGACCATTCCTCTGCCAAATGACCAGCCTGGTGAACCTTTGCAAGATGACGGTGTGAATTCACCAGATCTCTCTAAGTGTGGCGAGCTGTGTCCAGTAGATCATGCCGATCATTTCTACTTTAGCAGAGAAAACTGCATTCCTGTCAGCACCACTTTCTTTGAAATAACAAACGGTCCTGAACAGCCTGCTGATGGACAGAATGATGTGACCTTCAAATCATTTAACTGCACTGGAGGTATGGTTGAAATTTGTGATGGCACCAAACTTGCAGATGAGACTATTCCTCTTCCAGTTAACCAAACGGCTACCGGCAGTGAGTCATACAATTATGGCATGAATCCAAACATGGTAACTTATGAAGAAGATGCCAAAAACAGTAGTGATCATTTAGATCACCCATACTATGATATTGAAAATAACTCATTCAGGGGACCGTTACCTTTCAGCCTTGATGATGTTGATGAAGTAAAACAGGTTAGTTTGGTGGTACCTGATGGTCAGACTGGGAGTCAAGAGGCTATTAGTCTCAGCTCTTTCATCAATGCCAGAAGTGACGGAGAAATATCAGACATCACCGAATTGTCTCAGAAACCTTCCCCCCTTACTGACGACCAGGCTGTGATTGGCCAGCCCCTGGATGACATCAGTGAACCTCCTGCCATGACACAGGATCAGCTTCAAGATGAACTACCATACAGCCATGTGGAAAATGATGAAGTTGTGGTCAATGCTGACTTACTAGCTATCAGTTCATCTTCCCTGACTAACGCATCTCTAGAGTTGAAAGAAACATCTAAAAAGGACTCAATGCATTCTGAGGACAGTGCGTTGCCTTCAATGCTGCATAAAAATCAGTCTTCTGATTGCAGCCATCCTGAGGCTTCTGCAGAGAGACCTACACCCGTAGAAGAGCATGTGGAACACGTCTCTCATGTGCAAATCAGCAGTAAACTCAATGGATGCAGTGAAGAAAAAGACAGTGCTCTTGGTTCATCTGGAACTGAACCAGAAAAACCTCAGCTAAAAAACATACCTGAAATATTCAGAGTGCGGTCAGAGTTTGAGTCAGGAACATTGCCTTTTCAGTTTGGGTTGCTCAGTCCTGTTGTAAAGAGAGCCTCTCTCGCTGTATTTAAGGCCTTCAAGGTTCCTGCTTTGGACCAATTGTTTGCTGAGGATCCAGCTCTTGAGGGTGAAAAGAGCTTGGTTGCTCCATTTAACGTCGACCCTGCTTTGTTTTGGACAGAACAAATGGAGAGCCCCATGCCGTGTCCTCTGTTTAACTCTACAGTGCTTGGTTGCAAGCCCCAGCCAAAACCAGTCCCTGAGCCAGTTAAGGAAATGGATGCAAAGCCTTCTGCTGTGCCTCAGTCTGAAGTAGAGAAGCCAGCTGTGGAATTCCCCCTGATTCCAGACGGTCCCCTTCAGCAGCAGCTTCGGCAGATGGCAGAGTTCCTTTTCTTAGCATCAAAGAAGATGTGTCCTGCTGCTGTCTCTGCTTTCTCTACTCCTGCTGATGCTGTCACAGTCCCATCGGCAAAAGCTACTCCTGCAGAATCCCACGGTGTCTGTGTGGGCACCACTCCTGTTAAATGGTTAGACCACAGCGTCAATACATCTGGCCAATTTGAGAGGAAGAGGATCTTCACTGTGGCTGATTCCTGCACTCTGACTGACCCTATCCTGTGGAAGTAAGTCTTAACGGGATCTGGATAAGTTGCCAATGATTATTGATCATAACACGGATAATTCATTGTTATGTGTTTTCTGTGTCTGCCTCTCACTCTCCCCCTGTTGATATGCTCTCAGCCTCCCCCCAGGCAGCCTTGAGGGTCTCTCACGACAAGAGCTGGAGCAGAGGTTAAGGTCAAGCATGATCATGGTGGAGGCTCTTGTGCAGCAGTTGGATGCAGCCAGAGCAAATGGATGTTCTTCTGCAGGCCCTCCACCTTCAGACCTCAGGGAGAAACAAGTGCAGACGGACCACACTGAACTGAGCCAGGTAAGGAACACGTTCAGATGTCTAAGGGGCCAAATGTGAGATGTTTATAGCATTTCGAAGTTGTACTTTTTGTAGCATGAAATATTTGACTATGACGACATCTGAAGTTTCTTTTAATTCATCCTCAATCTTGGTTATGACTTACTTTTTGTTTTATGTTCCATACAGACAACAATGTTAAGAGACCTATATTTGGAGGCTCTGAACAGGATTGGTGAGTTGGAGTTGGACAGGAGTTCTCTACAGGACCTCACCCAGTGTATGCAGGACATGCGGGTCACCATGGTGAGACAAAAACAATCACTGTCTAGCACAATTGTAATATCTTTATAGATGAAATGCTCTTACATGATTACATGGTTAAATAATGCATTGACACACCTGATGTTGCTCTTTAAAGGGGTCCTATCATGCAAAATGCACTTTTTGATGTCTTTTATACATAAATGTGTGTCCCCGGTGTGTCAGGGAACTCACGCAGCGTCAGAAAATAAAACCCTCTCTCTTTTCCTCCGTACCCACATCTCTAAAAACGGGGCTACAATGGAGCTGATCCAGATTTGCGTCCGATATGACGTAAAATCGGAAATGTAGGCTGGCTTTACACCCACGGCCCTATCAGAAACGTTGCTATCGGAAACAATGCCCGACTGTTTTGGACGTAATATGGTCGGTGCATGTTTACATTAGCATCGCTAACACTCAGAGCTAACCTGTACTGGAGAGCATGTGTGTAAAGAAGCAGGAAATAAAAAGGAACTCACCTTGTGGTATAAACCGGCAAGAGAGAAAGCCTTTGAGCTCCATACTGTTTCAGAAATAATCCTTGATAATCCATGATATGGCGTTTCATCACGGCAGAATCTGCCGGTAGAATCTCCCGCGTGAGCTCAGCCCCCTCCTTTTTTTTTGTAAAGCTTTATACCCCAAATCAGCACTTTTGAAACAGGAAGTGAAATGGAGGGATATGAGGCATGGCTAGAATGGGTGATCTGTTTGGTATTTTGAGCAAAACACTTCATAGACATGTTTTATATATATATTTGTATATATCTGAGACCTATGCTATTGCCTAAAAATAGCATGATAGGTGACCTTTAATAACATTGATGTGTGCATTTGTCCCAACAGACTTCTTTGAGTAGTGACACAGATGCCGCTCTCTCTAACATGAAGAAGATGGGAGACGTTGTCAGAGATGACCACCAGAGCCTTGTTTCACATGTATGTAAACGCCTCTTCCCTCATTCTCTGTAAAATCAATTGAGTATGCCTTCGTTGACGTGAATCTTTCTTGTGCTGTTTAGTACGGTCAGATGAGGTCTCTCTTTGAGAAAACAAAGACGACGCAGACAAAAATGATGCAGAAGGTCAAAGATGCTCTTCACCAAAGAGATGACATGAGGGCACAGATGGAGGAGGCCTTCACAGCCAAGGAGGCGGTAAGTGACAAACATCTGTATTATTTATGTGACTTAACCCTCTGAGACCCACGTATATATCATAATATCACGTTGTGTTCAAAGCATCATAACTTCTCAGCTGTTTGAGCCAGAGACATGCCGTGTTTTTCCTCTTAAACTACAGAAACGGCACTGAACAACTCCATTAAGTTTTTCATTGAGAGGCGTTTACTTATTTCGGTGAAACGGATGTGCGTAAAGTTTTAAAAGATGCGGATAGTCTCACCTTGATTCTGGCGCATTGCTTATCGTTTTGTATGTTTTATAGGTCTATTCTCATCCACCATCTTTGTTTGTGACGTAAAGAGTGTAAGAGTCACGTTTCTGAATACCATGATGGGTATTCTAATACTTATTCATGTTGCTCTTCTGAAGCATGAGGATTTTATTTTATTTGTGTATTGATAAAGTCCACAATAAACCAGGGCTACATTAGGCTTTTGTTTTGAAAAGACAAGATAAGAAGTCATTTCTGTTCTGATATTAAGTCCGTAGAAAACTGAAACATGAAACTGAATATAATAAAAACTAATTACAGGCCTCTTTAAGCTTTACACATTATGAATCAGAAGTAGTTTTACCATCTCTTAAACTTCCAAAGCACATTTTCAACATCTTTATATTACACACGGCATCTATTGCACGTCTGTCCGTCCTGGGAGAGGGATCCCTCCTCTGTTGCTCTCCCTGAGGTTTCTCCCATGTTCCCCTTTAAACTGTGGGGTTTCTCTGGAAGTGTTTCCTTGTACGATGTGAGGGTCTAAGGACAGAGGGTGTCGTATTGTCATACTGATATTCTGTACAAACTGTGAAGTCCACTGAGACAAATGTAACATTTGTGATATTGGGCTATATAAATAAACATTGATTGATTGATTGACTTATTGGCAGGGATATTTATTTCGTAGCACTCTGTATTCCAGGAGCATTAACCGTGTCTCTGGTTGTTTGTTTCCAGGCCTTCAGTGTGATGGAGCAGCTGAGGACTCACTGTTCCTCAGAAATCTCCGAGCTGGAGAGGGTTGTGGGGTCTCAGCAAGAACTGTCAGCTGCCCTAGCCCAGACTTATCCAGAACAGGTACACAGAGCGGGCAGAAACAAAAAGCTTTATTACAATCTTTTCATCAGAACATCCATCAGAATGTCATTTTATTTCTCTTTATTCTTTTTCTCTCTACTATTGCAGGTTGCATTAAACAAGGCCTACAATGAAATGCTCAATTCTGCGTCTGATGTTTTGTCCACAACCATGGAGGAACATTCCAGTTTGATGCAAGAAGTATGTTTAATATATCTTTTAAAAGGAGACTCAAATGGGAACTGTTGATGTAACAATACCATCACACAGAATGTTGCTTTTACCAAAAATCACAATATCTTGCTGTAAAAAAAGTCAATGAAAATGCAGCTTACTTACAACAGGGTGTCCGCGGGGTCTTAAAAAGTATTAAAAGTTGATAAATCAATTTAGCGAAAATTAAGGCTATTAAAAAGTATTAAACGGTATTTTCCAAGGTATTACATTTTGTAGCTTGTTTTCAATAAGTATATAAATTGTCCAAAGAGGTTGTATTCTACAGTTTGCCTGAATGTAATCATTGCGTAGGTGTGTAGTGTGATTCTGTGTAGTTTATTTATGGCATCCCGTTGGATTTGACGTCATCTGAACAGGACATCGCACGCTCACTGCTTGATAGCGCGCGAAGCTCCGTTTACGCCGGTTGTTAAACAACATCGTTATGGGGAAATGCAAGTTCGCGTCCAAATGGTTGGAAGATAAGGAGGAAGGACAATCAATACTGTGTATAGTAAATGTGAGGTAAAGTGTCGCCAATGTAACCGGTTAGAACTCCAAGTGGCGATGAGGTCTTAAAATGTATGGAAAGGGTCTTAAAAAAGGTCTTAAAAGGTATTACATTTGACTTCAGGATTCCTGCATATACCTTGTATATCTTTTAAAAAAAGACTCAAATAGGAACTGTTGATGTGACAATACCATCACACAGAATGTTGCTTTTACCAAAAGTCACAATATCTTCAATGAAAATGCAGCTTACTTACTCAGCTGTGTTTGTTTCAATTGGAGTTTGATTCCTGAAATGTGCTTACAGTTTAGAAACTGCATTAATGCTCATAATACTGATGCTTTTCCGTGGTCATATTTTTCACAGCTCTCTACAGTCAGAGGCCTTCTGCAGAAATCTGTTCCGATGCTTCTGATGCTGAATGAGAAGGCAGCTGCTGCTTTGATAGAGAGGGACGAACACTTCTCTGCCAGAGAGCAAGCGGTTGAAGAGCGAGAGCAGGTAAGACGTCATAATAATGAACAACAGGACTCTTACTTTCCTTCAACTCTTTTCTACTTGTCTTAAAAGCACTATGTCTTATGATTTCTGTGAATCAAGGAGGTCATTATTTTTTTATTTTTCATGAAATTGTTCTCAACAGATTGAAGACGAATTAAACAAAGCAAACATGATTCTACAAACGGCCAGAGAACAGATTGGTGATTTAAATCTGCAGGTGACGATTCTGACCTCAGGTAAAGACAAGCTATGGTCATTTACACTTGTTCAAAAAGTCAATTTAGCTTCTTCCTTACCAGCCTTTGACATTTCTTTCTCTTCAATTTCAGAAATGGGTGTGTTGCGTCAGAAGCTAACAGAAAGAGAGGATGAGAGGGGTCTGCTGGAGAGGCAGGTGACGGAGCTGTCGGCCACAGTTTCCTCCACATTGGCCTCCTACACCTTCCTGGAGCAGGCCCTTGCTTCACAGAGTACAAAGTAAGATTCCTTTTGTGTGTGCTTAAGAATATAATATTAAACAAAATCTGAAAATGTCATCAAGGGTGAATGTGAAAGAGCAAGAATCGCTACAGCACGGTGCTAAAATATGATGTTGTTGTTTCAGGTTGCAGCAGTCATGGAGAGACATCCAGCAAGCCAAGGACAGAGCAAACGGGTAAGTGGTGACAATTATTTTTCTACTCGGGGATGACAAAATAACTTTCAGGTTGAAATAGGTTAATAGCTGGATAACATTTTATGAAAACAATTATAGGATTGTTCAGTTTATCTCTTTTCAAACCTCAGACAAAATCTTCTCACTGACTTTTTGGATGCCTCTTTTAACTTGATATGTTAAAGTGTCCACATTTTTTTCAGTTTTCATATACTCTCTTTTCATAATAAGGGAACTTTCTGCTACGGACAACTTGCCTATATACATATGCAGCATATAAATAGGCAAATACATTTTTCTAGCCTGTTTGAATTGAGAAAGAAGAGTGAAGTAACTTGGCTCTCTGAGGGCAAAATGAATTTCCCTGCCACATCTTAAAAAAAAATTCTTCTAACTAGGGGTTTCACAACTACCAATATTTACTAGTCGACTAGTTGTTACGTCATAATAAAGACACACAAAGAGAGGTGTAAAACTGTATTTTGTATTGCAATGCATACAGTTACGTTAAACACTGTAACAAAGCAGCATTTTAATTTGTGTTACATGCTGTTACATGGCTGATTAAATTAAAAACAGTAACTGGCATTTGCGCATAAGATGAGGACCCCTGAATGTCGGACGTGTTTTGCTGGAGCATTTTGCAGCACCTCAGCGCCAATGTCGGCATCCTCATCTCCCACGTTTGCCTCCATTTTGTTCACGACTAGATGACTAGGGCCTACAGCGCCGACTAGTGGTAGAGGTAGTCGACTAGTCGATTAGTTGGTGAAACCCCTACTTCTAACTAATGCTCACTGCCTGTGTTGTGTCTTGTGTTCAGGTTGGAGGCGTCTCTGGGTCAGTCGGAGCAGCGAGTGTGTGAGTTATCTCAGGCTCTGACTCAGAGTGAGGAGCAGCTCAGCCAGCTGCAGGTCCTCTCTCAGTCCCAGAGCGTGCAGATCCAGCAGCTCCAGGATGTTTGCACACAGCTCAGTGGTGTGCGGGAGATGAACGAGGTTCGTTTTTCAGATTTAAATACTTACACTTGCATTACTTGTATTTAATTCTCTGAGAAGTCTGTAGCTCAACTAAATATAAATAAGTCTATTATTAGGGCAAAGAAGTCATTTAGTTTGAAGCTTCAAAGCTAAAGACATTACGTTCACAGTTAGTTATCTTTTAGCCGTTTAGATTTAATTACCGTCATTTTCTTTGTGTCCAAAATGTGTTTGCTCTCCTGATTGCTACACACAAAGGGAGGCACACACACCTGTATTAACTTAGCGGGAGTGCAGACATTTAGCGGCACTATAAATCACGGATCATAAAATATGAAGACAGACAGCTTACTCGGAAATTCTCAATAAAAGCTTTACAAATTAAATAATTACATTTGGTACAGTCATTTTATTCACCCAGTCTGCACAGTAAAGTGCGTCATCATGGTATGCAATTTCAGTTTGATCATTTCCTGTTGTCTGTGTGTGTTTCAGTTCTTACAGATGGAGAATGAGTTGACGAGGGAGCAGATGGATGAAAGTGAACGGTTGCTGAGTGCCAACCTGCAGGCTCTGCGGCAGAGGAACATAAAGTGTGAGGACCTGAATGGAGAGCTTAGTCAACTTCAGTAAGTTTAAGTTAAAAACACCCATGTCATTATCTTAATCCTATTGAATTCAAACAGTTTCAAAATGCAGCTACAGTGATAAAACATAATGGAGACACGTGAAATTAGATACTCCAATAAATCATCTTTAGAACAGGGCCTAGACACTAAACCTAAAGTACTAGCAAATATAAAATAACTTTGATTATTGTTCCTTTTTACTAGTTCTTTAACAAATATGATATGCATGTATTATACTTTATACAGTGTATTGAGTTGTATCTTATCATTAGCTTCTTCATAAGAACTGACATTATAATTAATTCTTTGTAAATGAAGGTAGAAGCAAAATTAAGCAAGGGAAATAATGGCTTGATAGTACATTTGATTAAGATACAAAATATTCCCAGTGTGGGTAAACAAGTCTTCAGTCCAACTATGAGCATACAGAAATGTTTAACATTCAGAAAATCTTTCTCCAAACTCTTTTAAAGTTGTATAACATTTTCTTTGTATACTGCATGATAATTTATCTGTATGTGTGATGCAGGTTTGAGAAGAGGAGCTTGCACGAGGAGCTGGAAACCACAAAGTCCAGAGCCGGTGCCACGCAGCTGGAGCTTAGACAGAAACTGGCAGACGCGGTCACTGAAATCACTTTGCTGCATCACACACTGAGGGGACTGACCAATGAACTACATACGGCTCTCAATGACCAGGTAAGAAAGGCTAAACACAACCTGAAGCAGATTTTCTGCATTTTCCATACTTCCATGTGAATCCATTCTAATATTAAAGGGGACCTATCATGCGGAATGCACTTTTTGATGTCTTTTATACATAAATGTGTGTCCCCGGTGTGTCAGGGAACTCACGCAGCGTCAGAAAATAAAACCCTCTCTCTTTTCCTCCGTACCCAAATCTCTAAAAACGGGGGTACAACGGAGCTGATCCAGATTTGCGTCCGATATGACGTAATATTGGAAATGTGGACCCACGGCACTATCAGAAAGTTGCTATCAGAAACAATGCCCGACTGTTTTGGACGTAATATGGTCGGTGTTTACATTAGCACTTAGAGCTAACCTGTACTGGAGAGCGTGTGTGTGAAGAAGCAGGAAATAAAAAGGAACTCACCTTGTGGTATTACCGGCAAGAGAGAAAGCCTTTGAGCTCCATACTGTTTCAGAAATAATCCTTGATAATCCATGATATGGCGTTTCATCACGGTAGTATTTAGTTTAGACAGTAGCTCAGCCCCCTCCTTTTTTTTTTTTCAAAGCTTTATACCCAAAATCAGCACTTTTGAAACAGGAAGTGAAATAGAGGGATATGAGGCATGGCTAGAATGGGTGATCTGTTTGGTATTTTGAGCAAAACACTTCATAGACATGTTTTTAATATATTTTTATTATATATCTGAGACCTATGCTATTGCCTAAAAATAGCATGATAGGTGACCTTTAACTAAATAGATACACGTCAGGCTATAACTATATTTCTAGTGGACTCGAGATTGCACCACTAATTGTGTTCAAGTTATGTTACTCATGTGTCAAGTCAAATTTCATGATAAGGGAAAATGCTAAAATCAGCTGCAATTAAACCGATTTCATCACTGTGGGGAAAAACAATATTTTGATGTATACTTGTATTGTTTTTCAGAAACCACAGAAGGATAAAAAGTCTCAACAAGTGGAGCGCCGTCACCCCTCCAGCTCGTTTGTCGACAGCGTCATGATTGCACTCACAACAGAGACACTTCCTGGATCAGGTACTGTAGCTTACTGTGTCTTTGAGTGATAATTGTCAATTATAATTTAGTTCATGACTCCACAAGAAAGGTTTGGTTCTTTTTAAGAATGAAAAATATTATATTTTCTCATTAAAGAAGCTTGTGTTTTAAAAAAGAAACCTGAACACAAATAGCAACTTTCCAACTGAAACAGTAAAGCTGGTTTAACCAATGCTGGTGGTCAATCTGAGCGTGTCAAGGTGCATTATCCAACCACGCATTATGATGCTCTAGCCAACCTGGGTTAAAAGAAGTCACTGTGCGTCTATCTGGCATGAGCACCAATTTAAATAAATGTAGTTCAATGCAAGTGTATTTAAAACAAAAAAGTTGCAAACAAGTGTCCCCGAACAGACTGACACCCAGAGACACTCATGCCTGTTAAAACAAGATGCTTCTGGTCCACAAGAGAAAGCTTACAAAGAAAACATTGATGAATCCCAGAAATCAAAGACTACCAAAACATGAGAACAAATCGTAAAGTAATTGTTAATATTTTCTATATATCGATTCGCTTCATGCTTGAGAAATGTTACGTCCCCACTAAGGTCTAGGGGACCTGGAGACAATAACACACAACAACCAATAAAATGAGAGTCAGCGTAAAGGTTTGACAAAAGGTTTATTCTTGTAAACCTTTTAAACTGAACAGAACCTTACAGAAATACTCTGTGTGTGAGGAGGAGGAGGAGTCGAAGGATTGTGCCAAACAAAAGAAACAAGCATAACAAAACCAGGCCTATCTCTACGGCTATCCTTTGAAACCAAAACTCAAACAAAAACCCTCACTACCTAAACTACTCAGAATTGGACAAAAACAGAATACAGGGGTGGCAACAATCCGCTAACCTAGTGTGTCTTAACATTAGTTATCTACGTGATGAGAAGTGTACAGGGTACCCCAGACTTACCTAACTACTCCACCTCTCAACACACACACACTTTCAACAAAGATTATACAAAATAAAGAGAAATGTTTTCTCTACAAGGCAGTCAATTGCATGCTCCTCCATCAGCAATCAACCCAGAGTGAGAGAGCGAGAAGACTTCCTGGGTGCCTCCTTTATGGTCGGCCCTGGCTGCTGATAGGCCAGCTGAGGGTGAGAGGATCCAATCAGCCATCAGACTCTGGTGCACAGGCAGGTCCTCATCAACTGCTGATTAGCTGTGCAGAAGACAGGGAGAAGAGAAAAACAGGAGGGAAGGAGAATCACACAAGTACAGCCTGCCTGGCACATAACAGGCATCTTATTACTCGAGGCAATTGGAAATCTAACTCGTAGTTCACTTTCTCTCCCGTCCCGTCAGACATGGCCGACCCACCGTGTGAAACTTTGTTTAGTGAGACGAGCGCCTTCACCCGCATCACGCCTAGAAAGAAAAGTAACGCAGCAGAGTTTGACCCCGAGGAGGTTCAGAGCAGCGTGGTGGAGCTGCTGGTTGATCTGGGCAGCACCGTCACAGAGCTGATCAGCAACACGAAGCTGCTGCAACAGCGCAAAGACGCTCAGCTGGAGGAGCTGCACCACACCATGTGAGTGCTGTACCGTGTCTATGTGGTGGGAGATCAAGATGGCCTTTTCATATGAGGCTTACATCACTTATAGACATCATTTAAAGATAATGACCAATACATTTAGGCCTGCAACTAACACTTGTTCAGTGCATCGTACACATGTTTCAGATTCCTCAATTAACTGCTCTGTTATTAAGGGAAAAATGCCAAACACAAGTTTCCTGATCTTTATTTAACAAATGTTTAGGATTTTTGTTTGATGCGTGATTTGCATCATTATCAATCCATAGAAAATCACTTTTCAGTAGTTTTGATTGTTTGATTAATGAACACATTGTTCCATAAGTAGATCTGTGTCATGTAGAGAGTGTGTTCTGCTGCAACTATTTGACTGATTGCAATCAATTTCTCAACTAACCAAATGTGAAAGACAAATCGGGAACAACCGATTGATTTATTAAAGGTCTGCACTTCATTAAGATTTTGTAACTTTGTCAGAGGTTTGGCATTGATATGGTCAACCCCACACAGAGAAGAGGTTATAATAACTGTGTTAATAAATATGAAGGTTTCTGGATTTACTTTCCTTTAGAAATGAATTGGTGGAGTTGCCAAGTTGTCTTTCATATTGAACATATTGGTGCCGTTTTTATAATTCATTTTGGTAAAAACCAATTGGGTACATGCATGTAATTCTTCTTCAACATTATCTGATGCATTGTTCCAGCTCTGGCCTGCAGGTGGAGCAGCAGGCTGCAAGCAACAGACATGAAGCCGAGGCGTCTGCGCTGAAGCTCCAGCTCAGCCGTCTGAACAGCCTGTTTGAGAGAGGAAATCAGGCGCTGCAGCAGAAAGCTCTGGTAAGTACTACTGGACTTTAACTTTGAAAACGAACGGGGGATACAAAAGAGCGCTGCCCTGTCATTTTCCTAAAAATGTTTCTCTTTTCACAGGATGAGAAGACTGTGACAAAGTTGATGTCAGAAGTTCAAGACACCCGGGAAATTCTAAATAAACACAAGACTGAGAGCAATGTAAGGCACATCATCCATACTGTATATATGTATATTGACTACCCGTGAAAGAAATGCTGGTATTAGCTTCAGCTGGTGCGATGGATGTCATCATTTTTATGTGGGCAGATTCGTAGTTAAAATCAAAAAGGGGGTGAAAGGGATCCCACCAGCCAGGAAGGACAATGGCACCCTTTCCTTGGACCTTGATTTTATCATTTTAATTCAACCCCATATCTGTAAAGTTTCATGACTGCCATTGCACACTTGCAATGCTATTGCAGTGACAAAATCTGTCTTAAAATGGAAATACAAACACTTTTTTATTATTTCTTAATAACAGAAAGAGTACGTACTCCATGCTACAGTTACCAAAGTGTCTCCAAAACCACATTCTGACACACACTCAAAAGCTGGAAACAATACTAGCTAAAAACCAACTCGGAATACACTTTATTACATTTAACGGTTTATTTTTATTTGTTCATTGTTCACAGGAACTGCGGAAGGAGGTGGTTGAGCTCCGTCATTCTCTGAAGCAGTCACAGGTGGAGGCTCAATACCTGCGGCTGGAGTTGAGAAAAGCTGGTAGCCAATCGGCTAACCCGGCACAACTAATGGAAGAAAAAATCAAATTGTTGAAAGAGGTATGATCCTGTCACTTATGCTTTGTGAAATGCCAGAAACATAATAGTTTATTAGCCTTAATTTTAAGCTATAGTTGAGCAAACACTTCAGGTTCTCTAACATGGGTCCTTTTTTTATCTGAAGGTGGAGACACTGAAGTTGAGTCTTCAGAAATTGGAGCAGGGCAGAGTTAAGCTCCTTGAGAGAGCAAAAAGACATGTAAGTATCGTCTTGTTACTGTGGTATTGACTAATATCACTGCATAAAAGTGGCGTTATTTATTATCTGGGAAAAATATAAAATCTATATGTCATTATGTACGATGTTGTAATGTCGCTTGCAGCAACTCATCCATCAGGCCAACCAGCAGAAAAGTGAAAATGAGCTCCAGATGTTGAACAAAATGATCAATAAAGTCAGAGAGGTGAGAGATGCTTTTCATAATGCTTGTGTCTTTTTCTGTACATGAATAAATACTGTTTCTATGTTTGTGTATTGGAAGTAAAGAGGGGTTTTAATTTCTCCACACAGACTTTGCTGTCTTTGCCGGTGGTCGTGAAGAATTGTGAACAACTCCAACAGCTCGTTTCATATATCGGCTGACATGTTTGTTATTGTAACCTGTGTTCATTGTATTTATATCCATGTTGTTTAAGCTTGTCCTGTCCTGGCTGTGTTTATTCATATGTTTAGTATGATATATGATATCAAATAAATGTTTAAAATAGGATTATCTTGTTGTGATGTTTTTTTATTTATTTCAAGATTAAATGCAATGACAACAATTCAAAGTGTTTGCCTTCTTTGTGATGGCGGCAAACACATGTTAACATTCAAAAAACACACAAAGACATGTTTTGCACAATTTGCTAAAAGCAGTTTTGCTGGACAATAAGTTTGACACATCTCTTCAAATGTCATACGTCATAACTATATGCTGTACACCTGGCTTTGTTTTAGCAGCAGTTACCCAGTATTAAGTAAAAGGTATATAGATGATGGCTTGAACGTAATAACGATAAATGATACAACTTCATTCAGAAGATGTCTCATGTCGGCCTGCAGTGTTCATAAAGTATCTGTCTTCAAATATATATTGAATCTGCCCCCCAAAACATTTAAATAAATACATCAGTAACCGTTTGCAAAGGTGCAATCCTGTGATGTTAATTTAAAATGTGGATCGATAGGGTGCACACACGTGTTTGCAGTTTCTTTCCACAGTAAATGTTATCATGCTGTTCTGTTGATGTTAATGTGGTTTGCCAATGCTGGCTAGACCAGAGTTTGTTAAAGTCTCTGTTCCCCTCTTTTGGATATATTATTTGTCTAAAAATATTAGCTAGGCAAACTGTGAAAATCAACCAATTACTGCTATTCTAGGCTACCATTAACAGAAGTGAGTGTTCATCAAATAAAGCTTTGTTGCGGATATCCCCTGTCACCTGTATCTTGAGTTCAAGATAACAATTTTTCTTTTGCAATTATAAATGTGACACTTGCTGATTACTGCTATTCTTAGTTGATCCACAAAGATTTAAACATTCAGCGGCACTCAAGAAAAATGAAGACCCTTTTAACTATGGATACTTTGTTGGATCATAACACATCTTATCTGTCAACAAAGCTTCTTTACTGATTGGAAAATCAACTATCTTCAAGATAATGTAGCGTTTCCCAGCGAGTCCCGTCTTGTCAGACATGCAGACTTCGAGTGAGGAAGGTTTCTCATGTTGAGATAAAGGCCTCAAAACGACTTAACTTTTTCAGGCTGAAATATCGAGTTACAAGTCAATTCATTTTCTTGATTAGTGGATCTGTGTGGCAGATTAACTGTGTCTGCCTGTCTAAGTGCAGCGTTGACGTCTGGACATGATAATTGGGGCCCGGTCACGCCGACTGGAAACGCTGTGGCTCCAGACAACACTTCAAACCAGCTGAGCTGAAACGGTGAGAAAAACACGCGAGCACAGAAAGAAAAACATGTTTGAGTGTGTTTTTTTTTTTTCCTGGAGGCAAATGTCTGGATCTGTTTGTCCATGTTATTTTGTAATATATCATAGTTGATGTATTACAAATATAACTAATAGGAATTAAATATGTGACAAGCCTTATGTACCCCTTAGGTATTATACAAATCATTCTGGTGCTTCAAAGTGCTATATAATTCTTTTATTTCCAAAAAGGCAACCTAATATGCATTTTCATTTGGCAACAAAATACATGCAAATGTACTAAAGCTCACTTATTGCTAAGCCAATGACCATGAAGCAAAAATAATTTATACTGATATTTCAGAGTCTGTCATGTCTCAGCATTAATGTAAATATTAAACTTGCACATTCAATTCATGACATAAAAATAAGCTTTTCAACCACACTTGACATTAGATACACTTTACACTCACATGCTGCGTAGAAGCCTTGACATTTAAATCCACATTTATAGCATCTAGTAATTTAAAGTCAATTATCATCAATGGAAAATGGGGTGTTGGGTTAATGTAATAAATCACAGTTCTGTAAGGTGAGGTTAATCAGTCTTTTCAATTTTGCCCTTAACAAAGGTCATTAACAAAGAGAGAAACCATCACGATTGTGCGCATTATGTCTGGCTCACTGGGTGCCGTCTCAAGTCTCTGAGGGTTTTAGTGGCTCAGATAGCAGACACAAACCTGTCCATATTCCCTGGATATGTTGGGTGTCTCAGGTAACCCCCAGTGTTAGCAATAGGCCCTGCAGCACTGTTATACTGCGAGAAAGAGCCCAGCTGAACGGGGGACACCCTGCCGTAATGGTCCACGGCCTCCACAGACCCGTGAGCTGAGGAGTGGAGGCGTCCAGGCGCTGCGTACCCCTGGCTGTGGCCCTGTGCATACGCTGCCTGGTGTGTGTGTTGGTGGCCGTTTGGCCCGGAGTAGGTGAACCCCGGGTGGGTAGAGGAGCGTGATGATACAGCCCCTCCGCACGCTTGACTCTGAAAAGCCGCTGCTCCCAGGCCGCAGTGACTAGACCCATTTGGCAGACCCTCTGGACTGAAGCTGCGGCTGGACTGCTGCATCACCTCTGACCCCTGACCTGCGAGCATGCTGGCTGGACTCTGGTGTCCTATGAGGTGGTTGATGCTGAACGTGCGGTGTTGGCCAGGTCCAAACCCAGGAGGAGATGCAGAGGGGTAATAGGCAGAGTGCAGCTGCTGCCCGTACGCCGGACTGACTGTCATGTTGTTGTAGACAGAGTTGGAATATGAGGCTGATCTGGCAATCTGCACAGGAGAGAAAACGGGTGTCTCATGCACATATGAGGTGTAAGTGTTCATGTCACAGCGCTTAAACCTCTTCCTGCGCCTTAGGAAGCTGCCGCTCTCGAACATGTCCTCAGCGTTGGGGTCCAAGGCCCAGTAGTTGCCCTTCCCTGGCCGCCCCGGCTCTCGGGGGATCTTGATAAAGCAATCATTGAGAGTCAAGTTATGGCGGATGGAGTTCTGCCATTTCTTTGAATTGTCTCTGTAGAAGGGGAAGCGCTCTGTGATGAATTTGTAGATGCCCCCCAAAGTCAGCTTGCGGTCAGGGGAGTTGGCTATGGCCATGGAAATGAGTGCGATGTAGCTGTAAGGAGGCTTCCCTCGCTGCAGAGGTCTCTTCCTCCTCCGACCTCTGGGCTGATCCTCTGTCTGCTGCTGAGTGTTGGACGCAGACGATTGTGTGTCTGCTGGAGAGCCTTTCTCCACTTTGACCACCGGCATTGTCATGAACAGTTCAGATATGTCCCTTAAAAGTCAGATTTTAAAGTGCACTTACTGCAAAGGCTGCACAGTATTAGTACTTCCACAGTTCAGATGAAGTTCCCTCCGTCTGATTTAATCCTGGGCTTCAAAAACAGTCCTGCACACAATCCTGCTTGAAAGATCACATTTGTTTACAACAACTCACGGTCTTTCGGTCCAAATCCAGCAGCTCTTCAAGTGCAAGTCATACACTTTTTCCCAAGAGCTCGTGTTTGAATATTTGCGGTTCTCATTCCCACAGTTTGTAGTCAGGTGCAATTAAAGAGTTGTGCTGCAAGAGTGCCATGCATGTTGCTTAAGGTGTGTGTGAGAATGAGTCACTCAGCGTTACCTGAAGAGACATTAGCTCCACCTGAGGGGCCACACCCCCTGAAGCATCACATGCTCTTGACATACCACAGCTCTATAAGGGTCTATTGTTCACGTTTGACAAGTCTGCATACTTTCTAGTAAACATTTTTATTTCTAGAGTGTTGACCTTTCCTTAATACAGCTGCAATACATCTTGAAAGTTCTGAAATAGCAAAAGGATATCTACTTAATCAGAATATAGTTTTTAAAAGTTGTAATGGTTGTTCATGAAGAAAATACCCACAGGTTTTTCAGTGTTTACCTTCTATTATTATATTTATCTAATCTAACTATCAGACTTAATCTATGCGAGCTATTTTTTATTATCACAGACCAGAACAGTAAAATCCAACAATGTTTCCTCTTGATATTCAAATACCCCTTTAAACCTGACCTCAGTTTACTTTAAAAAGTCAAAATGATCCATGTTGTTTTGATGTTTAACACTAAAATACCTATTTAGTGGTAACTTAACCTTCGTGTTGTTTTTCTATCCTGCTTCCTTGTTTGTTTTGTGCCAGTGGTTGGACGAACCAGCTGTGTTAAGAGATGTAAATGTTTTCCAGACAAAGGCCGTCCTGTGATTTCAGCATGCAAAAATATAGGCTATCATCATGAATCCTGGACGCAACCTGGGAGACGGGAATAACCAACTCTCCGCATGTGAATTGGTCAATGAGATTGGTTTGGTTATGAATGTCTCTAAGGAATTAGTGATAACATGTGCTGGACATGTTTTAAAGTCAGTGTCATAGAGGTTTGTTCTTTATATGAGTCTATTTTTGCGGTATATTCATTCAATTAAAATTATCAACCACTTTCTTAGATAGTTTAATCTGTGAAAGCTCTGTTTGAAAACCGACTTTAAACACTATTACATTTCACAGGCACCAGTGATGGAGACAAGGCTGAAGGTTTGAGCAGCTCTGGTGGTATGAAGTCCAGGGGCTCCACAGTGTAGGGTTCACCAGCTTAATCTTTTAAACAAACAGAGGGAAACAAGGCAGCACACTCCCACCGCTCATCACCAGGCCGGGTTAGCAGAGCGGGCATGTGTCAGAGCGGGAGCGAGGGTTTGTTCAGACAAACAGCGCGATGAAAGGTCTCGTCCCGTGGCTCTCCTATCTCAGCTCTACCTGCCGCACCATGCTATACAATGTGGTGTATGATGGGTTAACACCATATTAACATGGGAGTCCACATACCTGTTAGTAAACTTAGTTGTTGAAGTTGTCATTAACTAAACACAGGAGTGCCATTCCAATATTGTGCATCTTACTAAAAAATCAAGAAAATTGTTCACAGTTGATACAAAAAGTAGATAACAGCTTAAGTTACAGGACAATTGTCATTTACACTCTACAGGAGATAATATCTTAAATTTTAAATATCTTAAAGGTCTCTCCAATCTGTCAGTTCATTACAGACTTAATTGATTTTGTCTCATTATTGTTATTATTATTATTTATAAGGATTTGCTTATCTTATAATGAGTTATATCTATCATTGTGGTGAGACACAACCACTATAATATAGCTACGGTTTTACAGTTTATATTTTGATGACGTTTTGTCTGTGATGGATAAACATCCTATTATTGTTGTAGCTATTTCGTTTAGTTAAACCTAGCATGTACTTTTTGGTTCAAAGAATATTTCTCAGTCTGTTGTTTGAGCTTGATTTACATATTGAAATATATTAGACCACACATGATTGATAGCTGACAAGCTGATTAGTATCTCTGAATACAGTAGATAGGGTATGTCTAAGGTTGTAGATGTTTTTACTGTTCAATGATTTCTTTATTTGAGTGTGTGTGTGTGTGTGTGTGTGTGTGTGTGTGTGTGTGTGTGTGTGTGTGTGTGTGTGTGTGTGTGTGTGTGTGTGTGTGTGTGTGTGTGTTTGTAAGATTGTACACCTAGTACTGCATCAAAGTGGATATGATTGATTGTCATAGTGAGAATTTAGAGCCTAATTATCATTCTTGAAGCAAAACTAATAAGGATTGTTGTTTTTTGGACATAGCAAGCTATTTGAAGATGTCACAAGGGGATCTTGACATTTGTGTTGGACGTTTATCACCTTTTTGAGATAATAAAGATTAAGATATTCTCATAAACAATCAAGGAAACAATTGTTGGCTGTAGCTTTAATATAATTACTATGATAGGCTGGCTTGGAAATAAAATAATTAAAATAGGTGTTACCTTGTTTACATATCTTTATTTTCCCAAAGAAGTTCAGATACACTTCAGGCAGTACAACATATGATAGAGTTCAAGTGTTAAACGCTTCAACCAGTAATAAATAAACATGCAATATTTAAGATGCATATTTAATTTGAATTTAGTGCTTGTATTGCATGTATTTGGTCCGGGCCTTAACCACTTTTAAACATTTGTTGTTTTAAGACACCTTGTAAATACTGGTAACATTGCATTAAAATGACTGTAATAATGTGTTTGGTTGTGTAGTGTCTTCACTTCAGCTTTGACAGGTGTGATGGACATGCAGAGGACCTCACCCTTTCCTTAAGGCAGCTTCTTATGCTTTATGGCAATGAACAATTAGTGGTGAGTAACTTCTCAGGCACTCGTTGTTAGTGGAGCTAACAGGCTCATAGCTGCCATAGTTTGCTCATGCATCACCATCTGGCACTCACACAGCATTTACTGTTAATATTTGCTCATGAGCCTTTTATCTTTGCGTTCGTACCGGTGGATTAAATGTATGATTTATTCTGCTGAAAGGTGACTCAAGTGTCAACATTTGTGTTTAAGAATGTTTTATGGCGTGTTCATGCGCTTCAGAGGCTTACATGATTCTCAGTTCATGCAAAACGGTTCGTGTTGTGTAACAGGGAAAGTTGTCGTTTAGAAAGCAAACAAACTTTCACTCTTTTCAAAAAAGATATTAACAATGAATACAAATCTTATAATTATTTTAAATCGTTTTTTTTCCCGCTTATCTTTCAGGTTCTTTAATTATACTGTTTATATTATCCATGGATTATATGATAAATAGTGTAAATAAGCTAACACATTTGTTGTATCAACTTTTTAACGTGATACTATTTAAATGTGTTGTTTGCAGACACAATTCTATTGCAGCCTTAATCAAACAGAGGTACAGAAAAGAACAACACACCCTTATGAAAAGCTATTGTAGCTCCGAGTTGTACGAATTCATCAGGACATTTCTCAGAATAGCAAATAGCTACACTATGGGCTCTAGAAATAAGCTTTTTGATATGCCACCAATTGATGTATACCACATGTACGGTTGCTTCAGTAAAAAAAAGACACAATACATTTTTGGGTATGAATTAATAATCTAATGATAATCTTTGAAGTACCTGTGATGGAAACTTCTGAAGCAATGGAGACTCAGAGAGACACAGAGAGAGCAGGAACTTTGATGGCAAACACTGATGGTATATTTGGAGCTTCGGCCGGAGAATTCACAAGACATGTGCTGAAGATCTCTACCCCAGACCCATGTATTTAGCTAGTTCTGAGAGAATAATCAACATGCTGCATAACAAGATAAAACCATAACACCTCTATCAGCTGACGCCAAGAGGCAGGAGCAGGGAGACAAAACACTGAGAGGGCAGATGTGCTCAGGAAGGGCAGTACAAACTGATAAACTGGGTCAAAGGTATGGGCCTAGGAAAATATTTCCCCAACAGTACCTACAATGTATAACCTTAAGGTTAAAGTTATTTTCCCCCTGATTTTGTCCACTCTATGAACTTTCACTTGGACTCGGCATGCACAAAACTGAGTCTTCCAGTTAAGTGTTCTTTGGTTTGGCATCACTGAGTGTAGTTGGGCCCTCCGCAGCCAAGGGCCCTGGAGCTATGCATTGATGCCGCCATGAGAGGCCTCCACCTGCCCATCACGGCACAGCGAGGAGACGCAAATCAACGGCTTTAGGTCGGGACATCTGCAGGGCGGCAGCCAAGGCAAATGAAGAGCTCTTCACATATACATCTGGCAGTGCCAGGGAAACGGCTCTCTACAAACAAAGACAAGCAAATTTGACATTTGAATTTGAACACTTGAATTTAACCATTTCATGGCTGCATGTTTACATGTGGGGAATCACTTAAGGACTTATACTAGACGCAGCATTGTTAAAAAATAGATGATACAATGGGATAATGGAAGATCGTTAGAAACTTCTCATGTTGCATGTTCAGATATACATTTTTTCAGCAAGTATCTTTGGAAGGGTTTATGAAAAAATGGACCGTATAATTAATTAAGTAAAGGAAAGTTAAAAGTCCTTAAAGCTGAGGGCAGCTGCTGATTCAGGTGATAATTTGACTGCAGGTTTGTCCCTACACGAGGCCCCCTTTCATTGTGCCAACTAGATCAATTAGATAAATACACACACACACACACACACACACACACACACACACACACACACACACACACACACACACACACACACACGTGTATTTAACGGCAGGCTCCCGGGCAGTGGAGTGCTTCAGTTATGTAAACTGGCCCGGGTTAGGAGCAAGTCAACCGTCAGGATTTTGCATCCTCAACAAGCCCCTGCAGCTGCGAATGCAAACAAGAAACTCTCACTTTCTTCACACACGCACACACTTATACAAACACACATACAAACACAAACATACACACCCAGACAAACAGCTTTTGACTCGTATTCAAATAGAACAAAAAAGCACTTTCTTATAACATGATACACATTTCTTGAAAGGAGGAAACCCTTCTTGAAAATTAGTTTAGCTTATAAAAAGAAAGAAAGTGCCTTTAAGGAATATTATGGATCATTCGGAATATAAATATATTTTTGAGACAATGTAATATTAACTTAAAAGGGGCTCTAATCAATATTTTCAAACCTATCAAATGACTGCTAAAATAATGTGTGAATGTAAAATGGGTCTCTTGTATTGATGAACCCAGA